GAGACTAACAAACTGCTTACTCTCCCTCCCAACTTGGTCGCTGCTCTATAAACCAAAACAAGACAATAATAAGTAGTTCGAGCAAACTCGTAAAATATCAGAGTTGGAAGTCTCCAAACAGTTTAATTCCTCCAAAAGAAAGTTTTCCTAATGAATATTATTGCACTAATGAAACAGAAATAAACTAAACTCAACTCATCTTGTTCATGCATTAATTTGTGTGCCAGAAAAAATTATAGAACATGTTCGAGCACCTTAAATTTTTCTCAAATCAAAATACTGTAATCTTCAACAAAGACTTTGTATATAAAGAAACAATTAGTTGATCACTAAATTTATACCCAATTGGAAGGAGAAAGCAGATAATAATAGTAAATCAAGCAGAAGATCAAAAAAAGAATACCTGAACATGGGAGAAAAATATGTGGTTGCGAATGAATGGAGTACATTCCTTGTTGTCGATCTCTGTCTAGTGCAAAATATGTTTATGCTCGGTGGTAGTTTAGATTGAACTTGATTACATTTATATATCTGTACTCCCATCCAAAGATTTATTCAGATGAAGGGCTTGATTATTACATTCAATAATATTTGAAATTTTGAATAGACAAATTGGAAGCAAACACTAAGCCAAACACATACATACATATATACGAACTAAGCACCAGGAAGAAAAGTGTATCCTCTGGAACATAATTTGTTATGAATCTATGATTCAAACAAAAAGCAAAGTCATTTTTTATAACATAAAAAGATACGGAGTACAATTAATAAAAAACTGAAAAACAAAATTGCATTAGCAGAGTGATTGAATAATACGGAGTACTGGTAACCTGGAAAGCAATTTGGATAGCAGGAAGCAATGGCGTTTGCTACAAAAATAATAATCCTTTAGGGGTCTCCATCTAAATGAATTACACTAAACAAATAGTAATAAGCACATAAACTGCCGTAGATGAAGAAATCATGGGCGGCGATTAATCGAGCATGAAACCTGCAAGTTAGTGTTTGCTACAAAAGTAAGTTGAATACTATGTGCGAGGAAAGGGATTAGTTACAGGAACCAATTCAATAGAAACTCAGAACCTTAAGTTTGTTACGAGCCGCCGCAGCTGCAACCATGTATGTCACTGCGGCAAAATCTTTCCGATTGAAGGAGAAAAGGGAACAGGATGATACGGCTAGGGCACGCTGATTTGTTGTGCGGTAGTTTTGTGAGATTTGGGAAGAGCGGGAACAGGTTCTTATGGTAAAATAGATTAAAAGAGGGAATTTTCACAATTTGGGGGCAAATATTTTTTTTAATAGCGCTTAGTTTTTACTTTTTAGCAGTTTCCTTAAGTGCATCGATAAACTATAATACTATATGAATGCATTCAATAACAAAAAGTATTTTATTTTTATTTTACAAGGCCCCTGTTAATCTGGCTGTAATATACGGAATTACGGAGTAGTTGTGAACATTTATTTTTTATTTTTATATTAAATTAAATACTCGTTAACGCAAGCATAGTCTACGGTGGCATTTTTTTAAAAGTCTACAGTGGCTTTTTGAATGTACGTATGTTCATTAATTAGTGTTGAGTATATGTTAGGATAGAATACACATAATCATAATAATAACTTCATAATAGTATTAATATACGTGGTATTTGATAAAATATAAGTATAATGATTTTTTAGAATTTCAAAAACCGACTCCAAAAGTATACGGAGTATATTTCGGCTACAAATTGTGTTTGTGCCGAACAGCTTTTTCTACAAAATATAATTTTGAAGGGATAGAAAGCCTTTGCCCATGAATAATCTTTGTGTGGAAACTTAATTCGTAGGAAACCAGAACGCCCCTACAAAGCATTTACTTTGTGGCCAATGAAGATCTGTGTCCACAAATTTAGTTTTGTATGCACGACAGCTGTAGGGAAAGGGTGAAATTCTACTAGTGTAAGTGTACTCATTGTTGTTGCTGATTTGGTGACCCGTTCATTTTTTTTGTTTATAAAATTGATATTTAGGAGGCGCAATCTTGAAAAGAAGTGCGAAATATTAATGTAAGTAGGTAACTAATGTTTTATTATAAAAATAACCTATACATTAATAAAATAAAATAAAGATGATGGGTGAAAATGTGATCTCTTATCCTATGTTGCACCGATACTTCACCTCGATGTCGTATCCGCGTATCCGATACGTATCCGTATCTGATACTCACCGATACGCATCCTGTACGTATTGGGTCCGTATCCGTAATTTAATAAAAGTATCGGGCTTAATGTTAAAAATATCGATACTTCCGATACCCGTATCCGTGAAACGATACACGTATCCGAACCTATAACCACCATTTGATACACGACACGATGAAAATTCAGTAGCCGCCCAAGCGACCACAACATGTGGAACATTGAGAAAGATGGTTTTGGGGGTATGGAAAATAATGGAATACTATAATTTGTCATTTCTTTGCTTGATGAGCTTTAATTGAAACAAGAGTTAGATGTAAATGCAAATAGAGAACAAAAAAATGTTATTTGAATTTAAATCAAAATATCAATACTTTAGTTTTTTTAGACTAATCTTTGAAACTTGGGAAAACTATCAAATAAGCCCCGTACTATACTGAAAAAGTCGATTAGGCCCTCGTACTTTACAAACACTCAATTAAGTCCTCGAACTATTAGAAAACGTTCAATTAAACCCTTTCGGTCGGTAAGTCACCGGTTTCCCAGTAAAACAGCGACGACAGCGACGATGTGCTCGAACCCCAGCAACGGCGGCTGCCGGGAAATGGGTTACATTTAACCGGGAAACCGGTTACTTACCGGCCGAAAGGGCTTAATTGAACGTTTTTTTAATAGTTCGAGGACTTAATTGAGTGTTTGTAAAGTATGAGGGCCTAATCGACTTTTTCGGCATAGTACGGGGGCTTATTTGATAGTTTTCCCTTGAAACTTTATTATAATAGTTAATTTTTTGAACTATTATTATTTTATTTATGAACCCTGAATTATATATATTTGCAAATTATGCCCTATATTTTTATTATTTATAAATATACCCCGTACCCGCATCCTATAATTTTTGAAAGTGTCGTATCGCCGTACCCGTATCCGCGTATCCGAGTATCAGCGTATCCGTATCCGTGCAACATAGCTCTTATCTATCGAGGCTAGGGTGTGAACAATCCGAATCGAAGTGAATAATTGACATTATTATTATTCATATTTGTAAAGATTACCGAATATTCATATTCATATATTCACTGAATAACCATATCTTATTTTATATTCGTGTTCACTTTGTTCGTTATATTCAAAAAATCTATTCGAATGTTTAAACTTGAGAAGTTTTAATGTCAAAATTTTCAAAGTAATTCGAATCATGATTTATAGTTTGTATTTTCTATCGCCTTTCACAACACACATACATTGGGATAAATGGAAAAATGTCCTCGCATTAAAAGTGGAAATAAATCCAGGCCCCTGATTATTTACAAATTGATTATTTGATCACATAGAAATGTATGTAATAAATCATTTTGAATCAAAGTTATACGATTGTATGATTGTAAATATACGAAATATTAAAGTATATATGTAATATTTTACACTGCACATTCCTAGGTATGCCTGTCAACGGGTCGGGTCCGGGCCGGAACGTAGTGTTCCAGACCCGGACCCGCTAAGTTAATAATGGACCCAAACCCGACCCGTTTACCCGGCGGGTCTAAAAATTTGGACCCGGACCCGGGCCCAACGGGTCTCGGAACCGGGTCGGGTAGACCCGCCAAGTATGATACTGTTATAAATTTTGTGAAAATAACAAGACCTCTATGTGAAATGTAAAGAAAAATGTGCAAACTAAAAAGCAAAATATATGCTCACTTTTAAAAAAAATCAAGGTTTCTCATGGTATTACTTTTATCCAATATATAACTCAACACTTTGTGTCGCTTTTTCTCGTACATAGAGCTCGTAGCATAAACTTCAAATTAGAGCTCTTGGACTATATATTAAGAGTATAAAAACATATTGTATGGAGTGTATGATAATGATATAATAATATTAATAATACACGTTTATCACTATGAATAAACGGTCAAAATGGGTATTAATTTAATACACACACTAATAGGTATGTATAGGTGTGTGTATTTTCAATTGAAGAATTACAACTAATAATTTTATGTATTATTATTATTATTATTATGTATATGTGTGTGTGTATTAGTTTGTAATTTTTTACTTGAAGTGTTATAATTAATTACTTTATGTATTAGAGTGTTTGTATACAAATAAGAAATTTTAAACGGGTCCGGGTCCTTAACGGGTCGGAATCATATGTACCGTACCCGACCCATTTATTAAATATACTAACGGGTCCGGATCCGGGTAAACGGAATAAAATATAGACTCATACCCATTAAAAATAACCGAGTCCGGATCCGGGTAAACGGAATAAAATATAGACTCATACCCATTAAAAATAACCGAGTCCGGGTCGGGTCCGGGTCTAGACCCGACCCATTGACAGGCCTATTCCTACGGTTGCGATGTAGTCCAGTGGGATCAAGGCACGCCTAAGTTTCTAAGTAGCTTTGCCATCCGGTTCAACGCCCACCCGCATTTAACTCCTTAGGGAGGGTTTACATGCTGACAAGAGTTTATAGGGTAATCGAGGCTTTCCTAAGTTATACTGTAAAAACACTGCACCCTGCACATTCATCCCTAAGAAATTATTGTTAAATAATATTTTTGGAATGCGTATTTGGTGCGAATCTAATGCAATTCTAACTAATGTGCAATTTTTATACCTATGCAATTTTACCTAATGCATGCATAGGATTGAAGACTTGAAGAGTGAAACACTTTCAGAGAGGAGGCAATTGGGGAGAGCAATGGATAACCTAAAACCAAATCGGTACCTATTATCCAGGATCACGCTTCCGCTATTGGGACCATGAACCTTTCGGTCTTGGTACCGGGACTGGTAATAACTAATAAGAAAAAAATAGACTTATTTTTTAATGGTGGGCTAATATATCATCTCTATAAAAATTCACACAAACTTGACACATTGGCGTACTCCATTTTTTCCAACTAATTAACGTACTGTAATACTTGAATCTCTACTGTACTACGTTGTTAAAATTACAACTGCAGCAACAGTAAGGTGTGGACTAAATAATAAAACTAATAATAAGCACACTGCTATATGGAGCAGGTGGGCACCTAACTAATGCAGCAATCATCAATCATTTACACTGCTCTGGGCCTGTTACACCAAGCAAAAGAATGCATAATCTTTTGTAGTTTGACTGCAATTCAAATAAACAAATGCATGAATAGCTAGGGGAAATTACAAGGGATGAAGGTGAACTCACAATATCGAGGAAGCTACAATCCATGACAAGACAAGAGCCGAAATTGCATGGAAAACCATAGCAATAAAATCCATGCCAACCGACAGCATGTAGCGTCGGCAAATGTACTCGTGCTCCTTGTAGCAAATGGAGTTTGTAGCAATCAACTGAATCACTGCCACGGCTGAGGATATAGCTCCTAGCGACAAGGTTAAAACAACCTGCATCATAACACACATGCACGCATCAAACCACTAGATTACAGCTCAGACAAAGCCGGAAAAAAGCTGGATAAGATATATTTTAGCGCCGGTTTGGTTGCCAGTTCTAGCTTATTTCAGTTATCAGCCGAACAAAAAGAATAAGGTTTTGACTTTTTTAATTTTATTTTGGTGACATGTATGTTACCAAACCAATTTCCTTTTTAACATATTCAGTAGGAACTAGAGTCTAGACATTAACAAGCATAACCTTAAAAAAAGAAAACGAAAGAGAAAAAGTCAAGTACCCAATCAATAACAAGAGTCACCATCACATGGAAATGAGAGGGTAGGTTCCCCTGAAACACCACAACCTTAAGATCACAGCATACAAGCACAAAGCTCCACGTAGTTTCAACACACTGTTGAATCAGTAGGACTCTGAGAGAAACACAAGTTAAATCCAGCATATAAAAAAATAGAATTATAGTAATAATTATAATATAAACAAAATTATGAAAAAGACAAAACATACATATGAAGCACTACCTGAAAGGTGTAACTTCTGTTAGTCCAGGAGCAGAAAAACTAATGGAAACAGAAACTGCAGCGAAAATGCACCGAAATATCCGAAGTACTAGCCCGCTAATCTTCCCAGGTCCACCAAACATTTGCCTCATGTCTCTAGTTGGTGTCTAGCTTTTCACTGCCAAAGCAACTATTGTTAGTGTTTTTTACTCCCAAAAACATGTAAAGTTCGTGTATTGCAATATGCATCCATGAAGGTAAATTATATTCTATAGTCTGTTAAATCATAAAATACATGATGCCACTTGTTATGTTAGGATCTACATGGTATACCTCCACATATAAGTGTAACTAGTGGTGGCTCGGGTAGCTTGTAATGGAACAGACCAAATTAAATACAAAGTGAACTTCTCAGACAAAACATTGCACCATAGAATTATAGAAAGTTAAAAATAATCACATACAAGGAAATAACTATATCAGATGAGTAATTAAGTTGAAACTAGGTATGGCTGGCTCCTCCCTAGCTGCATTATGAGTGTAACATTGACATAAATTGTTCCTCTTATTCCTATGTTACCTAAAGAATTTCAAACATAGATGTAGACAGAAATAGCAAAGTTCTCAAATGTGTGTATGAAGAAATAATTATAAAGTGAATTTACATAGCAATGCTTTAAGAAACCACGTTCATCAGGATACAAATAGAATGTTTACACGAATTAGTAAATTCATCCCTCTAAAGTTTATGTCTTATATGAAAAATAAGATGCAATGACTAAACAACAACAACATACAAAGAAACCAAGAGTATAAAGGCCGTATGTGTGTTTGTCATCAAATCCAGTTAAATGTATTCATAGGTTTGTGAAATTGTTTTTTGAAATCCCATGTAGATTCTAGACTGATCTGTTTCCTTACCCTACTCCTCCAAATTTCTCTAAACTCTGGACAAAAAAAAATCTAGACTCTGGACTTAAGTCAATATAGTGAAGAAAGCATATTAACTGTACAAGAGTATTCAATATACCTTGTGATGCAGGAGGGAGGTCTGAGATAAACCCAGAGAAGAGTAGCGGAAGTTGTGCTGTGAATAGAAGAACAAAGGAAAGGGTTCTTAAAGGAGATAGCAGCAGTAGCATCATAATTCATAACCAGTTTCTAATTTTAATCCAGCATCCTTTCCAGTAGTACCGTAATGATAAGGCCTAAAATGAAAAACCTTCGTCTTTATGCTTATCTATGTGCATATCTGACGAAAATGGTCCTGCACAATGTGCATGTGACAGGCATGCCTGATAACAAATCATTGGCATAAAAGTACTACCATTAAGCAATTCTGTGGCCCTCATACTTTTCATATTAAAGGAAAAACTAATCTCAATAGTTTAACCTTTTGTAAGATGTAAAATTAGTAGCAATACTTGTATCTGCAGAGAAGTGAGCCAATACCACAAACGAATTGGAGAATGTCCAAATGTCCAATTCACATTTCAAAAACTTTGAAGCATTTCAACAAATTATAGATCAATAACTACAAGTATCAAATGAATATAGGAAAATTGACAGTTTTGACACCATAAATAATGAAACACTGACCATCATCACTGCGTATCCTAGGTATTCCGGCGGTGGAGGATGGCGCCATGCTAGGTTGACTCGCCTGAACTCTCCTCGGCGTAGAGCGAGTCCGCGACTGCGCGGGGTCGACTAGGCGTCTAGTAAGCCAGATGGAAGACATTAGCCGGCCGATATTTCCCGGTGCTGAGTAGCCTGGGAGCAGAGTAGCGCAGTGGCAAGTCACCGCCAAGTCGCTCAGACTTCTACATTCGAAGTCCCTGCCGGGTGTTTTGAAAATTAAACCTTGACCTCTCCCTTTAATTTTAATTAATTGACCATAGCGTTGGGCCATTTTGCAAGGGGTGGTACGGAAAATGTGTTAGGAACTTTAACCCGTATTTACTTCGTTGTTAAAAACTATGTTGTAAAAACCGGACCAGGCAGCCACCGGCCAGATGATTGGGTCACAAGTCAACCCGGACCCGGCAGATCAAGTCTGTCAATGCCGCAAAACCCGGTCAACATAGAAATTAAGTTATTATTCTAAAATATACAAATTTTTACAAAATATTAAATGTATTTTAAATTAAATTGACAATAAATACATATACTCCCCCCGTCTCTTAAAACTTTGCCAACTTTCCTTTTTTGGATGTCCCACTAACTTTGCCACTTTCCCTTTTAAGTAAAGAATTTGTGGTTTCTGTTAATTCTCTTTCCTCTGCACAAACCTTAACCACACAGTTTTTACTTTATAAATCTCCGTGCCGGTCAAACTTGGCAAAGTTTTAAGGGATGGAGGTAGTATGATGCTTATTAAAAAATTAAATATTACATAAATAATTTCACTTATTATTACTACAATAATACTCTGTAACTATGTAGTACAGTGTTCATCAATGTTGTTATATTTTATTATGATTATATTTATTTATCAGTTCATACTTAACTTTTAATGTATTGACTGAGAGCATTTAGTAATAATGATTATTATTTAGTATTATTATTTATCAAGTAGGACTTAGCTTTCAATAATACTTCAGAGTATAATAAATACGTCTAAACATCAACAATAGCGAACAAGATAGTGCAGTTTGATGGTTTGCAACCAGGCTACTCAAGTTAAGACCCGTGTTCGAGTCCCTTTCGCGAATGTTTTTGCAAAATGACTCCGGGTTCTACTGACTTTCCGGGTTTGGGCCTCTGGCCCGCCCCGGTTACGATTTGGGTCCAGCAGGTTTGTCGGGTAAGTCCGGGTTTGGAGACATTAGCGGGTTGATGAGATACCGGACCGGATTGGGCTACGGGTGACCGGGTTCCGGGTCGACCCGCCCGGGCCGGTTCGGGTCTTACAACATAGATTAAAAACATACTCCCTTTTAAGGATGTTTGGACCTCATTCTAAAAACTACTAGTATTTCTCATCTTAAGAAACTGGGGGAGGCCAACTTCTGAAAACAACTAATTTGATTATGTTTCTACTTTAAAAAAGAAGCAGAAGCAGATCCAAACACCCCCTTATATTAATAAGACAAATGAAGTAAAGACAAACTTTCATGTCCAGTCGGCCTGACAGGAACCGTCGTCCGGCCAAGGGTATTTGGATCCTTCCCTGTGGCATTTTTTGATGAATTTGTTTGAGTACGTTGTTCATCAAGTCTAGTATGCTCAGACCAAATTTCAACTAAAAATTTAATCGGGAAGGCAGTCAAATGATTTTTTGAAAAACATGCGTTGTTTATATATATTAACTGCGCAATGTTCTTAAATAATTTATTTGACTACAATCTCAATTAAATTTTTATCTGAAATTTCATATGGGTAAACTATATTTGATGAAGAACATGCTCAATAAAATTTATCAAAAGATTCCATTGGAAAGGGCTTGAAATACCCTCGGCCGGACAGTGGCTCCCGTCAGGCCTGCTGGACTAGAAGACACTCATGAAGTAAATACACAAACTATCTAAAAGGTTGGTTACCCATAAACATGGGTTTAAAGTGTCGTTTACATAACATACCACTCTCATGCATAAATTAAGCGTCAATTTAAAGTTTTTAATTTCCTCATTTCCCTTACCTTTACCCCTTGCCTTAACTTTTAACGTTATCCGTGCCCTTACCCCTAAACTACCCCACACCCTTACCCCAACCCTTACCCCACATGTTTCTATACCCCTACCCTTACCCTTTACCCTTAACTACCTACCCCACCCTACCCTACCTTACCCATTCACTGATCCCACTCATACCCTAATCGACCTAGCTACCTAACCCTACCACCAACCCCGACCCTACACATGCCCTACCCCTACGAACGACTACCTCACCCTGACCCTTATCTATTATCCTGTTACCCCATTTTACCCCTACCCATGCATGTACCCATATCCTGACTATGCCCGTATCCCTATCCCGACGGGTAGGGGTGGGGATACGGGTAGGGGTCGTGTTGGGGTGGAGGTAGAGGATGGGCCACCACATATTAGGTAGACTCATGTATACCTGAATATCTGTGTCTTTATATATGTACTAAAATTTTTACATGTGCTGAGCATGGGATAATAGATATGTTTTTGGGATATTATGTTACGTAGAATGTAGTGAAAAATATTAAACCGTGTCGCTTCCGCTCAATGACATCTAAAGAACATGTTTATTAAAAAATTCTGATAACGGAGCTCGATAAAAAAATGAAATTGATTTATTGTTACAGAAAACTCATTCGGTAGCGAACTCGTTTGCCAATGAAGGGTTGAACGTACACCGACTTCATGTTTCCTCGAAGTGAACCTTCCATTACCTTAAAAGGTCTCCTACACGCAGATTATAGGGACATTTCGTACATCTGTATTTAATGTTGTTATTTTGTATTTGCTCTTTCATATATTTTTCCATTTTAATACCTTGTAAATTTCTTTTTGCTACTAAGAATACTTGGTAGATGACAGTCGAGACTTGCCCCATTGATTTTGATGAATTACTTCCAGGATTAAAAAAGTTGTGGCATTTATTAGATTCGAAATAGTAGAAACATTAGGCCGCATGATGGCAATTGATAATTAGGCCTTTAGGCAGCGACAACAACATTATAGCACAACCCAAACAATAATTGAAGTGTTGAACAAATGTAGCAACTAAACATCAAGTAAAAATTAAGTTGAACAAATTAACCATATTAATTGTCCTTGCATTGATATATTGTACACATGTATACATATGTGTGTATAGAAAATGAATCAAATGATAACATGATCTAAGGAGAGAAATGAGAATAAATCTAGAGCGTTATAAGGCTAATGCGCACAAGTTATATATTATGAAGTGTCTGGGACATTAAATCCGTTTGTATACACATATAGGCATGTGTGTACGTCTACATACATAAACATCAAAACATGGGGTGGAGTGATCGAAAATATCAATGTCGGGTGATGAAACAACCTCGCAATCACCCTTGAAAGAGAATACATTCTCAAAGAGCGTAGCATCTCTTGATTCTATGAAGGATTAGTGACAACATCCATGTTATGAGATTTATGGACAAGAAAACTTTATGCACTATTATTTTGTGCATAGCCCAGAATGACACAATAAATAGTATTTGGTCCAAGTTTTGTCCTCTTGAGAATAGCTACTTTGGCAAGACATTCCCACACTTTCAACTAATCAAAATGTGGCTTGCGCCCTTTCTATAACTCATATAGAATTTTGAGAGCTTTCTAGTGAGGCATTCTATTTAGAATGTCATTTGCAGCTAGAATAGTCCCCCCCCCCCCCCCCACAAGTCGTTCGGTGCACGAGAACTTACTAACATGACATTAACCGTATCCTTTGAATTTGTGTTTTTTCTTTCGGCTACACCGTTCGATTTAGGCATATAAGGAGCGGTTACTTGATAAATAATTTTACTTTCCAAAAAGAATTATTCAAAGGGATAGTCATACTCACCACCTCTCACTTCTTAGTGTTTGGTTTTCTTATCAAGGTTAGTTTCAACTTCGACTTTGCAATGCCTAAAAGCATAAATCGCTTCATCTTTGCTTCTTAGCAAATTCAGATAACATGCATGTACTCTAGTGCTATCACCGATGAAGGTAATGAAATATCTTTTTCCCACCCGGCCTCCCTCCGTCCCGCAAATAACTTCCCATTTGGATTTCACACATATTAAAGAAATAAATTTATTAGGTGGTAAATTTTACATGCATGTGAGATATAGTTTCACGCTTATCTACAAATAATATATGGAAACGATGATCTCACAGAGTACAACATGTTAGTACTTAGTCCTATTAAAATAGAGATGTGGGTCCCTTACATATTTTAACTCCAAAATAACCATAATACATTAATTTGTGAAACTATTTTTCCAATAGATAGAGGTCAAATCTGTGTTCTTCTCTCATGACTTCGAGCTTCTGAAAATCAGGATTCAGGGATGACCAGCAAGCCACTGGATATGGAGAAAGGCGGCGGCTATGCTACCATATCAGGGTAGATGCAAACATATCTAGGAGATGAAAGCAAGCGACCGGGTCTGTTGCCGAAGCAGGTGGCGCGTCGGTAAGAGTTTAATAGTCGGCGGCGGTAAGAGTTTAATAGTCGGCGGCGGTGATCAGCCGAAGTGGTGGCAATGAATTTGGGGGCTGTATGTAAATATCATTGGCGGTCGCGGTGCAACTGTCTCTAGCGATCACAGTGTAACTGTCAATGACGGCGATAGTGGTGTAACTATCATTGATGGGGTGGTTTAACTATCATTGACCATCACAATGTAACTGTTACTGAGGGCGATTGTGGTGTAACTGTCACTGGCGTAGGTGGTGGTGTAACTATCACTAACGGTGACGGTGGTAAAACTATCATTGGCGTAGGTGGTGTAACTATCTCTAATGGTGACAGTGGTGTTACTATCACTGGTGGAGGTGGTGTAACTATCATTGGGGGGGGTAATTGTTACCGGCAACCACAGTGTAACTGTTACTGACTCATTGGCGGCGGCGGCTGCGTCACTATAGCTGATTAAATAAAAATATATTGTAACTTGTCAGATCAAGTAACTGTAACTGGTCAAATCTGGTAACCGTAATAGATAGGGTTACATAAGTGTAATTGGATGGATTTCTCAAGAGGGCGTAAAAGTCATGAAGATATCTTTTTTAATTGAGTTTTGCTAGGTGTACACAAAAATACAAAATGTGTACACAAAATGTATACACATGTCTGTCCTTCACAGAAATTTTGTCTGTCACAGATAACTGAAAATTTCTGTGAAGGACAGACATGTGTGCACATTT